ATGTATGTGTGTATGTATGTGAGTATATACTGCCATCAAGTGGCCGCAACAGTATGTACCCGTACAAAAACGACAGCAAAAAGGCAGCTAAACGACGCAAACAAACATTACTCAGCCTGCCGATGCCCATAAAAGGTTCGACGGCAACGAGCTCGAGGAGCCACTTCTTGTATATTATGAGATTCATATCGCCGTTCTTATGCTCGCATCGTAAGATTCACAATCGTCGTTCTTATGCTCGTCACACTGGTTGCCACCACCGTATCGCCATGGCCACACAAAGAATTTTCGCGACGACTACGATGACCACGACGACGACAACCATAACAACAGCAGCTGCGGATTCTACTACTGCCTGTGTCTTTCCGTGCGCAGAGTATGAGTATCATCATCATCATCATCATCACCATCATCATCATCGTCACCACGTCCGCATCATGCAGAATCACAGTCGGCACTGACCAGCCATCATAAGCTGCAAAGCATCTCAAAGCATCTAGCAACGGCCACTGGCCGGACAGGGGAGTTCATAAAAAAAAAAAGTACGCGAGCACATATTGTTTGAGATTGCTCCTGAAAAAACCGAGACAAACCAAGCAAGAAAATGTACGGCCAGAGCCAGCAAGGGACCAAGTTGAAGGCACCGTGGGGATCACCATTCACAGTCTCCTGCCAAAGCTCCGCTTTGCATCGACTTTGGACAAAGTTACATGCGCATTCTAAATGTGGCAATGGTGACGCACAACCCGCATTAACGTTTATGTCAGCCTGCCACCTAAACCCTAAGTCCGAACCCCCGGGCACTAAACCCTGACTTTCGAGATTTCCATTTTCCAGAGATGTAGGTCGTCGTCTGTTCGGATTTGGGCCTCGGAAAATGGGTCCCAACCTTAAGACTCTTTTCGGTGCTCGATCTTCGTGTCCAAGAAACCACCCTCAGCAACAAGCCAGCCCACGTCTGGGCTTCACCTACGCGGGATCCCCAAAAGACTGGAGCGGGTTACAGGACCTGGGCGTTGAAGCGTAGAATTCAACAGTATCGCACACACTTCGAAACAAAACATGCGTATTTGCAGGGAGCCGATCCAAAACCGGACTCTAAACTCGAAGTCCCACAGTTACACTCCTCATAACCCTACAGCTTCCCCGCACTCACAACCAGAAAACCCTAAACCTAACGTCCACATGATCAAGAAACTGGGTTCTGCGAAGCGCCACGAATTCAGCGCTCTAGACTCTAGACCCCGTCCCTATTCAATTAATGCACCATATACCACAGAAGCATGTTCTTCTTGAGGCCCTGTTCTTACTAAGACTCCTAGATGAAACCTGGGAATCCAAAGCCCGACCAGGATCTGAGATTGCCGAACACTGGGGCATATCAAGGCTCCGGGAGAAGAGTCTACGGAGGCTACAGTTTAGGACTCTTCAAACCCGAACCGGGGAACCTCAAACCCGATTGCTTCTAACGCTTGCTTCCGCTACCCTTCGAAGTGCCTGTGAGGGCCTTCTCGCGTGCAGGTATGCAACGTCTAAAACGCGAGGAACAAACTGCTTGCACTCGTAGGGTCGTATTGCCTCACGGTGTATTTGGGGGTTTACGGCTTTAGGTCCTTCTTCTGCGACGTAAACCCTGAATGTCAGGTTTTGTAGGGTCTTATTTTCGGACTTGAGGTCTGGTTTTGCGTGGCTCGAAAATCTGGGTAATTCCAGTAAAACGCCCGACACTGCAGCAAGGCACCAGGACGTCGATCTCTCCACTGCATGGCCAGGGTCCATATCGGCCATCACCTGGCACTTCTTCCAAACTATTGTAGCTTTGAGCATCTTGATTCCAAAAAATATCGCTAGAATATTTGCCACAATGGGGAAGGGAAACCGAATTCTTGATAACACCTGTGGTTTCGAGCACTCCAGGACTGGGAGGTGAAATTGAGCACCAAGGCATTGAATTGCGACTTCGCCCAATTCTGTACACAAGCAAGGCCGTGGTGGCGGGGTATATCAAGGCAGTGATCATGTGATCATGCAGTGTGCTTCTCCAGACCTCGTCGGGCGGCAGTGAAACCCAAAACTGGTACTCTTGTGTGAATGACCAGCCATCACATCCCTTGTCGCCGATTTTTCAAGCAAAGCTTTTTCATGAATGACACACTGCCAAACTTTCCGAAAACCATGCCTGTTTCAAGGCAACGACCCACAAGGACCCTAGTACAGCAATGCCTGAATTTTGACCCCAATAATTGCAGCCTTGAAAGGGGCGCTGCAAGCATGAGGACAGATGTGCAACCAGAGCAACTGACAGCCCAATTTGACCCCTCAAAAATACGATGCCCGCCGACCTTCGCCTTAACCGCCTTAACCCAAACGGCCCTGAACCCTGCAAAAGCTTGCCTTTCGAGCTGCCTGGCAGGAGCCACCTCGGAGGAGTTGGAAGACATGGTTTCCTCTACGCTTCGTGCCGGCTCTTCCTCTTGCAATGTTGCTCACTTTTGGCATTGAAACATGGGGATTTAGGATGCTTTTTGTCTCATATTTCCCACGGTCTACGAATTCTCATTGGAGCATGTGGAGCGGAGGCCATGACTCGTCCGTGCAGTTCAAACCAAAAAGGTTTTATCCACAGCTGCTCGAGGGACCGTTTCATCCGAAGCTCGAAGCCTGACACCTGTCCAGCTCTGCTCGACATCTTGGGGGTTTGAGCGTAAGTCTGTATCCAGCTAGCAGTGACATTACAAAAGCTACTGCTACTTCAAGTTCAAATTTCCGAACCCGACATTCTCAATCTTCAACCTGGCAATGTGTTCGCCTTCGCTGCGGAAGAGCCAAGTCGCAAGGCAGGCCACACACTGTGGCATTTCGGAACTTTTGCGGAGAAGGTGAAGATGCCTTTGGCGACTTGGGTTGTTTGCAGGGTTTCTGTGTGTAGAGGACACAACGTGCAGGGTTCAGGGGGCTTCGGTTGAACGGTTCGAGGTGGCTGTCGACACTTTACACAATCCCTTCTGCTTGAATGCAATCGCTGCAGGGCTCTTCGGATTATCGACTCCTAAACCCACTACCACGCCAGAATGCTTCAGTTTGGGCACTGGGCCTTGTGCTTTACACATTTGACTCTGGACTTGCTCTTCGGCATAGTTTGAGCTATCAGCCATGCGCCAACGTCACAGTCTTTGTCTCCGTTATACCTGTGTGAATGTACGATTGCTGTGTTTACACATGTACGTGTACATTCATGTGTGTTATACTTTTCGTACATATACATATACATAGTAGATACATACACCCATCGGGTGTTCAGATAGCTTTCAGGCATCGACAATACAGCTGCGCGAATCATAGCTGCAGCATCGCAGCGCTCCCCAGACAAAGAACTGGACCGTTCAAGCCCGAACAGAACCATCCTAGATCCAGAAACGCACGGCCGGCGGCAATGTCGCGTATTTAGGGCTCTACGAATCCAAAACAGCAAGCCCCCCATCTCCACATGAATTGAGTTCAATGCAGGTCCGTATTTAACTTTCCTCTACTCATCTTAATACTTCCTAGATAGTCAAGGCTGTTACCGCAGTGCTGCTACTGCTGCCTTGCACTGCGAGCACCACTGCTAGTCGCAGGATGATTACTTGAAGTCCAAGCTTCCATAGGTGAAGGCATCTTTGCTCATGACGCGACCTGGCGCGGTCCCAGGGCATTCGCTTGGCGGCTAGTTGCCCGGCTTGCCGCTTAAGGCTGAATAACTTCTTGAGGCCAGGGCACTGGGATTGAGTTGATAAGGGAGGCTTCGGCCTGCTTTGAGGACTTCAAGTTGCTGGATACAGATCTGAAAGAAGTCGCGTCATTCTCGGAACTGGCGGGGACGGAAGGATCGCAAGCTCTGCGGCTAAGCTGCTGATGTTTTGGTTTTACCAGAAGAGAGAACCGTCCCAGACATAGAATGTCTTAACTTGTAGAAACGGCGACGAAGGAAAACCGCTCGAACCGGCAGTCTGAATGAAGCTGTTGCCGCCGTGCGCTCTCCTAGAGTGGTGAAAGCCTCCTGGTTCGAGGATTCCAAAGCTCTGCAATCAGTGAGGACAGTTAGTGCTTCTTGAGATGTCTGTGGAAACATGACAACACAGGCTGCCCTTTCGCAGCTTCTCCAGCCCCTGGTTGGCCCCATGTCGTCGCATGCCAGGCTTGCAACATGAAGGACACAAGCAAGCGTTGTGCCATCTGTCCGTTCCCCGCGCGCCACTCGCCGAAGCGTGCAAACGACACCGACCCCGACTACGAACCCATAGACCCTGAGTGTAAGCTTCTTTTCTTAAGCCACCCTGCACACCGGCCTGGGGGGATTGGAATTCAGATGGACTCTGGATAAGGATATAGGCTCGCATAGGCTATAGGATTCAACCCGGCGCCTTCAAGGCGCAAGCCTCAAGCTAGTGCGACTGCCGGGCTCTTAAGATCATCACAGATGAACGTCATGTAGTATCATTGCAAAGGACCAAGGAGAGCTTGAGTAGCATCTTGCCCTGAGACTCCGACCGGAATTGAGGCAGCGCCCATCGGCGCAGGCCGAGGCCACTTTCAGGACAAGCTTGCCATCTTCGCTGAAAACTGTGGTCCCATCGTCCACCTGAGCGACTGCGGGGGAAGAAGCGCAAACATGTTGCAAACAGCGGGAATTCTGCTGATGGTCTGATTTTGCGTAGATGTAGCCTCGTTCTACACATATCGGCAATTGTGAGGGAACTGCGCAAGTCAAGCCCTGAACCTCTTTCCCTCCTGGTGCCGCTTCCTTGGCCTAGCAAACGCCATTTAAAGATTTAAAGCCTGAGAGGGCTTGAAGTTGAGACTGCGAGTTGTGAGGCCTGCATCATGACGGACAATCATCGAAGACCAAAACGCTGCAAATTGCCGCACAGGCTTACCCGGCTGCGTGCCTGCAATTATCCAGGAGCCCGCAAACTGGCCAAACTGGATGAGGGTTTGGGGATTTAGAGCTTCAGGCTTAAAGCGGGGCCCCGCCAAGCCTAGGCCACAGAGGAGTGCCAATGTTGATTGAACGTGGACTCACTGCCCACATCCCCTTGGACCCAATGCACTCATTTCCAAGCGAACCTTGCTTCAGCGCTTCAGGTTGAAACAAGCTCTGTGTAGCTACGACCAATTGGAGCCTCAGCTCAAGTTCATGCCGCGACACGTAGTTTGAGCAAGAGTGCGTCATGTTCTGGTCCGGGATCCTGGACCCGGCATTGTCGGGCTTGGGCTTTGAGAAAGACAGCATTTCTGGTGTTTCCAGGAAGTTACGATCCCGGAAGCAACCTGACAGCCGAAGCCTCAAATGAGCCGAGACCGAAACCCCATCCCGCGGGTGCCAAAACGAGGCTCTCAACAAGGGGCTACTACTTCGGGCGAGGGCTGGGGGGATTGTTTTGTGGCTTTTTTTCTGCGCAACCGGAAGAAAGCCCCGAATCGGCATAAACTCTCAGAGCTGGAACTCAAGACCCGAAGACCGAAGCTGTCAAACCGAACACCCTGAACCAATACTGTTCCTTAGGGTCCCTTTTTATGTTTATAAATACTTCAAGATGCCCCCCCAAAACCTAGTTCGGTAGGAGAGGCAGAAGGTGCTTGGCTTTTAGCCACGAGGCTCGGGGCTCGGGACTTGACTTGCACTGCTTGGGTACTCTTCAACCTGGCCTAGGCGAGCTAAAGCTGCCTGGGGTTTAGGTTTTAGTCCTGCTTTGCTTAATCTCGGGTTTTCCCCACATTGAGGCGCCGACTGCACGACATCAAATTCGTTCTTTGGATCTCCTGTAGGCGACCACCCGGAACCCGAGGATGGGAGCTTGAAGGGTTTGCCCGGAACTTTGGACCCTGCATTAAGCCCGAAGCTCTACAGCCCTGCATCCTTGCATCCCTGAAGCTCACTATGCATTGTAGCCTCGGCTCGGCTTGACGGTCTGGGTGAACTGGGGGCTCAGTTTTGACTGCCAGCCTCATTCTAAGAAAGGAGCCTCAAGAAAGGAGCCGAAAGCCCCCCAAATCGAATCGGAGCAGACCTGTCCTGGCCCTGGCTGGGGAGGGTTTTCAAGCGCCCAAACCCCCAAACCACATGAGCCCGAATCCCCAAATCTGAAAACATGCCTTGCCCCGACTCGTGAAGCCGAGCCGAGGCTACAATGTATATTAAGCTTCAGGGACTCAAGGAAACAGGGCTGTAGAGGTTAGGGCTTAATGCGGGTTCCAAAGTTCCGGGCAGTCAAGATTTGAGACAGATTCAGAAGGCTTCAGGTACCTGTAGACTTGCAACGATCTGGGCTTAGGCCGAGGTCGCTGCCTGCGACGTTGAAGCGCTTGATGCGCGTGAAAGGCTTCGCCTTTGTCAAAACTCGGGCTCATCCCTCATCCCTTCCCTTACCGTCAAAGCGTCTAGGAAGATGTGGAGCCCCTCTGAATTGGAGGTCTCCCTTTCAAAGGGTCATCATACCTGTGGGGGCTCGTTCCATCTCGGCACTTGCTTTGATGCTGACACACTTTCAGCAGTTTCGCAACCCTGCTTTTGGGTGTGTCAAAGAGGCCATGGTCTGCACCAAACCTGAAGTAGCCGGTGTATGACACACATACACTCCTGGAATTCATCACCTTGTGCTCCAAAGGATTCAGAAGCCGCTCGCCTTCACCTAAACGTTCGCTGTGGACTCTCTGTAGCACTCATTCAAGATGGGAGCCCTGGTGCCAGTTGTGGCGGAGGCAGCGCCCCTCCGCAGCGATCGCAAGGGGGCGTAGAACAGTGGCATGGAGGAAGCCCGCACCTGGAGGAGCTTCGGTTCGATCTAGGAGTTCGGGTTTAAGCACTGGGCTTTTAAGAGCCTTTCCCGGACGTCTGCGCGAGTTCGATACAGCAGGCATCTGAGATCTGTAAACATGATGAAAAGAATACTTGAGCCCATGTGGTGTTGAAAGGGAACATAGTTGAAAAGCATCATCTAAACAACTGAATCTTAGGCTCAACCCGAAACCCTAACCCCTACAAACGCTAAAGTCGCTAAGGTTTCCAGTAACGCTTCACCCATACCTTCTTAACCTTGACTCCAAGCCCAAGCCCTCTGACCCTCTACTGCGCAGCCTTAGTTTCACGCTGTACGGACCTAGCTGGCTAGAAGCTAAAGCGCAATGGTTCGAAGGCGAAAACTCCCGAGCATTTAGGGTCTACAGAGTCTGCAGTCTGTGGATGGCTGTGCCAGCAAGTGCAAGCAGAAAAGGTATGGGTTGTTGAGGTTTGACTGTGCTCCATCCTAGCCCTGGCAGCCGAATCACACAAGCCACCTCCACATAGACCTGAAGCCCAAAACTCATGATACCAAACATGTCCGGCAGCATGTCGGGGGTTGGCTGTGTCTTTGTTTCTTCGTGGACGCCCAAATGCCTCTTGATGCGCGGGCCGCATGCAGAAAGACGAGGTTTGGCGACTTTTTCAGCTTCCACCACATCACAGCCGCCACAAGCGGCCCCCGCCTGGTCGCTGTGTCACCGGCACGGCCACAAAAGAACAGTCGCCTAGGAAGCGGCAGCAGATGTTCAATGTAGGCTTGCTGGACGGATGCTGCACCAACGACAGAACTGGCATGGCAGCAAGACGGAGAAACGGAGACGCAACAATTCATGCGACAAGTAACATATGACAACAAAACATTATTCTCACAGGAGCACCAGGTGCGATCCAGGGGCTGCATGTCATCAAGCGATGCCATGTGCAAGGGCACATGGCTCGTTGTACCCAGCGGCACAAAGTACCAATCTGTCCCACAGAGCCGAGACGCGGTTTGGGTCTCGGGAGTGAGTTGCCGATCTGATTATCGCTAGAGAGAGAGGCTAAATGCCAACTACTTTTGCGCATCTGCACTGAACCTGGTAGCGCTCATCCCGTGGCTAACCTCAACCATCTTTTTTGTAACACATGAGCCTGGAGCTTTTGAAAAACCCTTCAAGCCTAATAACGGCCTCAAACTTACATAAACAAGCAAAAACAACCGGCTCAGCTAAGCTAAGAACAAGCAGAATGACAAGTATGCTTGCTTCAAGCTGGAGTTGGGTTCAAAGCTTCGTTGCGGGAAGGGCTCCAAAAAATTACAAGGTATCACAACATCTGTGTGCAAGACGGCTTGCTAAATCAACTTTCTGGCCTTTGCGGCGTCATTTGGCTGGAAACGACTTTGGACTTTGTGGGGAGTTTGGAATGCTCTTGCAGTGTGCTTCAAGATTGGCTTCTGTTGTGTAAGTATTCTTTTGGGTGGGTCACAAAGGCTGCTGGCGGGTCTCTAGACGAGTTTGTGCAGCTGCTCGTGGCCGGTACTCTCATGCGGACACCCCAAAACCAACACCCGAAGCGAGATGCCGCCTCGTTGGCCCCAGGGGCAAGATCTCAAAGCGAGGGGCCCCGGACGTGACGCCATACAGAGACCCTTATAAACCTGGACAAATCGCAAATCCTGACGTAAAAATCCGTTGTTCTCAAACGTCAACCGTATTCCGTGAACCACGTCAAACCTAAACACATCATCAACCCTGCATCTGCTGCCTCCAGCTGATGCCATAGATCTTACATCCTGGATGTTCAATCTCAAGCTAGCCTACGTGAAGACATTCTTGGCCTAACGCAATATCCCAAAAATATCCCAAACCCGACATCTACGGCGCACAGGTCAGACCCTAGAACCCATCTTTCGCTCAAAAACCAAACCCCTTGTGACAATGGTCCACCGACCTGGGTGCTTCTTCAGGCCCACTTCGAAGGCCTGAGACTCGTGTCTTTAGGTCCTTTAGGTGTTCGACCTCAAGACTTGAGACGGCTATGAAAGTCCCTTGTTTGCGAAACCTCATATGCCTCTTGTGGAATAGAACATGAAAAGAAACTGGACATCTGCAGCATCCTCCGAATATGTCGGCAACCAATGCACGAACATACGAGAGAAAGCCCAACGAGTATGCAGCCTCGTGCTGGTAAGACTTAGCTATAGTACATGGGCCATGTCACCCATTCCACTGACTCACGGCAAAGCTCGTTCTCCTTGGATGTGGCAGAGACTGGGGTCAATCACGCCACAAACGGCCGCTGACCGAACCCTATAACCTTCCCTTCCGGATTCGACAGGTTACACATAAACCTAGCGGAAAAATGTTGAATGCTTCGCATCACAACAACTAAGGCGAAATGCATCTTGACTGCGCATTCAATGCTCCTCAGATGACATTGGGGATGCAACTTGGCCAGCTTGGCACACGACATATCTTGGCGCTCTATTGTTGATGCAGAGTTGCTCCGCCACAGTTCCAAGAGCCGAAACTCTCAACTCTAAAAATCTTGGGTGAACGTAGGGTTGAAGTCTGGATCTGGCGAGTTGTATTGAGAAGTGTTCTTGCGGTATGCTGGACGTACATTTCAACTGTTAGCATCGTGCATGATGCCCTACCGAAGCAAATCTTCAGGTGAGTTCGGGGCTCAGGCTTCTAGATCACGCACCGCTTCTGCGCACAACCCAGCGAAAACTGATCTTGGCTGCTGGGCCTTTTCATTTCCAAATCCCCGATCGTACAAGCATAGGGGACTCCAGCCAAATCATTCTCGGCTTTGATTCAGGGTTTGGGGCCCAACGTGGATATGAACACTGGATATCTGTATGCACATATACATACATATAAAACCATATAAACGAGTGGTCATTGAGAAGCAGCATCCAAATCATACCCCTTTTCCGTCATCGCACATCCGCAATCCTGCACAGGTCCAACATCCTCAGACTTTTTACACCGCATGGAGACTGTCAGACCTTGACGAATGAAAGCACAGATCACAAAACGTTGGGATAGGAGGAAGCTGCCGGGCGAAGACTTGGCCAATTTTGCTGTTTAATGGGATAGAAACGACATGCCACTGGGTAGTATGGGGAACTTAGCATACAAAAAATGTATGTATACAACTTGTACAAAGGCACACATTAGGTGGGTCTTTGTGTGTGTGCGCGCAAAGAACATAGGATGTAAAGGTTTGGCCATTACGTGGTTGGAACTTGTGCAGGTTTTGGATGTAGCGCTGAGGTGTGAAAGCCCTGAGTTTGTGCTTGACGAACGATGCTCTTAGGGCCAGCGTCCGGCGCCGTGATGCTGGCGCAGCGCATGCCGTCCTGCGGCTGAGAAGGCAACACATTCCCTCCAAGGTTTCGGCCTTGCTTTTCAGGCAGTGGGTCATTCGTGCACCAGGTTGTTCAGCTTGGCCGTTACAGTTTCCGATTTGCAAACGCCACATTGCCCGAAGGTTTCGAACCCCCAGAGCGTCGTTTGCAGCAGCAAGGCTTTGGGAGTTTCGAGGGTTTTGTGAGATCAGGCCGCATCACCGCAGCTTAAGCCGGTGTTGTCCAGCGAGTGTCAGATCCCAACCCTTACGGTCTGGCCTGCCAGGTCCGTCGGCTTTCGTCGGCTTAGGTTTCAGAACGGATTTGGTGATAGGGTTGTGGGACGACGGCATGCGGTTTGGGATGACAGATACTGACTTGGGGGATGTGTTTCAGGTTCAGGTTCTGCTCCCACTTGATGTTCTTATGATTGTGAACTGCCCTTGAAATTTGTGATTGTACCGTACAGGAAACACCATTGCAAACAAAACTCTCAGATTGAGGCATGTGCCAGAATTGCACAAGACTTTCAAGCATTTGGGTTCAGGTCATTGGAGTTAGAGTTTCAGACAGGTAAGTCTCATGGAGATCTTGAGGATCTTGCTGAACGTCTCACAACAACGACTACCACAGAAGCCTAAACCCTATGCCCGAGACCCTAAGCCTTCTTGCTGTCCTTGAGGAAGCTATCCGCAGAGACCGACTCTGTGCCGTTCAATCGCCTGCCCCGCAGTCGCTAAGGCTTTACAGACCGCTAGTTTGTCCCTCGTTTCGAGTGTAAGTTGATGACCTTATGGAAGGTTCTCTGCATGGAGCCCCGCAGCCGTAAACTCTCGCCATCGAGCCCTAGATTCGATCTCTAAGGTGTTAGATGCTTCGCCACGATTTCGAGTCCACTTCAAGACTTACTCTCGAGATTAGGCTTGAAGCTTTTTCTAAAGTTTAGGCGGTAAATTCAACTTGAGCACCACTATTCGCAGTGAACCACGAAGGAAGCATTTGCTGCAGAAGCAAGCTAGTCCACAAACAACAACGCCCAGAGGTAGGTTCCACAGACAAGAAGAGCACCCTGGGCCACATGCCAAACTCTACAAGCTCCTATACAAACCTCAAGCAAGACCCCTTGCCGAACCGTAAGAATCCAAATCCTGAACTCCCAGATGCTACAGCCAGGTCAGAATGTACTTGGACCTTCTACTCGTCAAAGCCTGCAGACCCTAAACCCGAGAGAACGATGCACTCCCACGGCCGCTCTTACCCAGACTCCTCCAACTCCCCAAACGAGCAACAGAACCCCCTGCCCGGGCCTCGCCCGGAGCTGCCGCAAAGAGAGCTCTGGGCTTTCGGCCCCGGCGCAGGCCTCCGAAGCTTTTGAGGCTTCGCGTGCTTAAAAAACAGGATACGATTCCTTCGTTCACCTTAAAGCCGAAGGAGGCCTAAAGCCTTGGGGCTTGCATCTGGAGCTCGATAGCTGTAAGTGTTGGAGGTTTTTAGGCCCTTGGAGTTTGAACGATGCATGGGTTACGGATTTATGGCTAGGGCCTGTGGCTTTGGGACTTGGAGTTCAGGGGCTCTGTGGCTTCAGATGTGTTGGGGGTCAAAGCTTAGGATCTACGACTGTGCGGGAGTGGAGTGTCAGGCTCCGGGCTTGACCGGTGAGTGGAGCTTAGGTTCCCGGACACCCTAACCCTGCAGCCTGAAAGGCCCCCTTAGCCCCTGTGCGACTCTCTTGGCTGCCTTGATCCAAGCGCGCGCGGCTGCACAACTCCCAAGCCCAAGCACAAAGCTTCAACAAAATGGACACGATGTCAGGGTGTCTAGAATGCGCCTAAGCCGGCCCTCTACACCCTCGACAGACCTATGCACGACACAGCCTGAGATTGAAACTTGGAGGAGCCCAAGAGAAACTCTGCGAAATCTTGCACAAACCCTCAGCCAACCACCAGAAAGGCAACATGCCAGAGCCGAAACCCCCAACTCAACATCCCCAAACTCCAAGACTTCAAAACCCATAAGGCCCACAGAACCCCAACTTGGCCTCCTTGGCCTCCTCCACATCGGCAGCTGTCCTGGAAGACGCAACGTGGGCTTAGAAATTCGCGTTTAGCGTTTAAGCGGCTTGCGGCATGGTGTCTAGATAAGATACCAACCGGATTTTGGTCAATAGCAAAAGCCTGGAATGATACTGTCACTAGTCGATAGCAGCTAGCAGAAGCTCTTGGGTTTTTCGGGCTTGGAGGTTCAGGATTTCGGATTTTCAATTGCACGCTAATGGCTTTGGTCTAGGAACATGGGTCGAGTACAAGAAGGGATCAACGTGTGAAGTCAACATTGTTGCACTAGAGCACGCCAAAACATCGCGTCGCAGTCGGAAGGCAAAAATCCTAAACCTCCGCACTGATGCTGTGAGGCGTGTAGGGATGTGGGTCGACTTCGAAGCCTGTGAACATCCTTGCTGTGTGCCGAAGCTGTGAAAATCGCCCCGCAACCCGGAGGCCATGAACCATACACCCCAAAGCCTGCTACCCAAGCTGTAGAAGCTGTAGAAGGGCCGTACATACATGTTTCAAAGTCGCGGAGCCCTGGTGCTGTTGCCAGCAAGAAGAGCAGCCAGGTTCGGGCCATGGCTCGGCTAAACTCGGAAGAATCGAATCCTCAAACCGGTAAGGCCCCAAAAGGCTCCCAGCTCAGAAGGTGGGGGGTGCATGAGCCATTTACCGGCCTCTCTCAGGGTTTAGGATTCAGGGTTTAGGGCTTACAGTTTTGAAGGGTTTAGTTTTGGATTTGGGGTTGAGGGATAGGGCTCAGCACAGCAACCTAAACTCTCAATCCTCGATTCTCCGCCAAGCTTCAAGCCTGCGATGTATTCACGAGAAGTTGCCGAGATGCGCTGCAACCCCAAACATAGACCAATAAGCCCCAAACACGACATTCTGTGCTCTGCCGCCAGCTACACCCTATTTTCTGACATGCAGGTCTTCGGGAGGGAGGCTGACATCCCAAAGTCTAACCTTTTCAGGGCTTGTCACTTTTGGCGGGGCCTGAGCTCCAAACAGTGCAGACTGACTAGACTAAACTCGACGAGCCAACCCTAAAAGTATCAAGATGAAGCAACCCAAACCCGAAACGGGGCGGTTCTACAATACGGACCCCTTATGGTACCGCTGATGATGTCGACAGGTGAAGGATCGTAACCTAGAATCGCGCATAAATCCCGACACTTAACTAAATGCTCGAACAACAGTTTTCCGAGGAAACGGGCCGAGCACGATCTGCTACGTCGCAAGGCGCTGCATGCTTCGGCAATGAGGGCTTAGGGTTCAGGATTTACGATCGCGTGGCTAACAGTCTATGTCCCTGCATAGTTGGCTCTCAGTTTGGGGCATTTTGGGATTTAGGACTTTGAGTTGTAGGGCATGCGGCTTCTGGCTTCGCAAGGGTTTACGCAACCACTGTGCAGAGTTCTAGCTTTTGGGTTGCAGGGTTGACGGCTTCGGGGCTGGAGGTTTTAGGGCAAGGGCTTTTGAGGCTGCAGGGTCTAGGCCTTTCGGGATTCAGGCTTAAGTACATGGCTACGTGGTTTGAAAGTTCGGGGTTCAGGGCAGAAATGGCTTACTACATCTTCAAAAACATGCGTAGAGTCTCGGAAGCAGTGCCGACTGCGCGCTTGAAACCGCGTTTCAAAGAGTTGAACAGGAGGGTTCCCGCTGCTTCTCCGGGTGCCAACTTACTCTAAATCCCTCTATCCTAAACGCCGAATCCAAAGGCCCAACGCGTGCACCGTGCGCACAGCGATTTCGTTAAAACTGGAAAGCTTCTCAAGTCACGACAGTCACGACTGCAACAAGCATCCCTATGCCTCAACGACAATCCTCTAGGAAAATCTCTTCGGTGTAATGATCGCAGAATAATGTGGCTCTTAAGCCCCAAACCCGTGAGCCTGCTTTACTTCGAACTCGGGACGTCCAACCGATTCCACGACAGGTCCTCTATCTACTGTAGCCAGTTGCAGGTTCATCTTCCCCCAAAACCCGGTTGAAATCGCGTAGGCGCCTTTGTTCGTCAAAATTCGTCACAAACATGAGACACACGCACATAAGCCCCCAAGCTCATATGCCATACTAGCTCCAAAGCTGACAGATTGAAATCCCAAACCCCAAAACGGCGAATCTCAAATCCTAACCGTTCCAAACAACCTGTACCCTAGGATGAAGCCCAAATATCCAAAACTTGAGCTCCGAAGTGTTAAAAACTCGCATCTCTGAAGCGGGAACCATCCTCCTAGTCGGATGTTTCTCAGAGTAGGGGCTCTCTACGTCTGGTCCTCTGGGTTTGGTGTTGAGGCTTCAGCTGCGGATTCGGAGGGCTTCGTGTTTATAGCGCGCCTTCGAGCGACCTGAAACAGCTCGAGACAAAGCACACGCGGGAAGCGGCCGAATTGGTGGGCTTCGGATAGAGGGTTTCAAGGTGTTGGGTTAAGGGATGACTAACAGATTACGGCTCCATGCAGTATTTTTTAGCGTTTTTGAGCTGGTCTCATCTGGTCTCTTGGAGCATGCAACTTAGAATTCTGGGACGGGGATCTTCGAAACTTCGAGTTTCGGGTTGTTTGCGTGAGGCCGGAACTCTGGGACAGCCGAATTTGCTATCTAAACAAGCTCTCGCCGCACATCGGCAAGTACGTCGCGCGAGATCCTGTCAATGCTACCCTGATTCGCATTTCCGAGCATGGACAACTTGTGGGCTGCAGGACTTAGGCTCGGTTGTATGGTGTCCATGGAATGGCGTGACACTCCTAAAAGGGGGTTGGCAGGAACTCATCATCACTCGGCCACGTAGGAGCCCTCCACCTGCAGCAGGCGGCTTCCTTCGTAAGGTTTCCTCTTCGGGAACCGCAGACTGTAGGAGTAGATAGACTCTGAAACTTGGCAATGACACAGCACACTCCTTGTAGTCCAACAATTTCATAACTATGCCTCTACTTAGGGGAAACACATGAACCTAAGCATGCTCTGAATATGAGTTTACAGAACCCGCCTTCTAGCGGCATGTCTTCCCACAGATGTGATGCTTCTGGTGATTTGCTGTTGCATTCCGCTAGAACCTGAAGCCCGTTTCACTTCCAGGTTTCGGGCTCTTTGGGAGAGTTGTTTGGATTTTGTGGGTTCTGAACATCGTCCAGCACACATCTCTTGAGCTCGGGGATTCAATATTCTACAGGGCTTCCGAGCTTGGGGCTCAAGGTGATTGCCGCGCCTTACGTCTGCCAAAGCTTGTGTCTACTGTACCTCAAAACTCAAAACATACTTTTCAGTCGTCGGTTGCGTGAGCACCTCATCCAAAACTTAAAGCCGAAAAATCACTCGCATACACTTTAAATCGCATCTTAAATCGAATCCTAAACCGCCAACCAAAGTCCCTGCAGTTTAGTGGGCACGTTGCGGGTGTTGGGTGTCGTGGGGCTTTAGGGGTCTAGGCTGCGGAGCCTGGAGGGTTTGGGGTTTCAGGCTTGAGAGTTTCGGGCCCAGGGTACTCAAAGGCCTATCGCCGATTGCGAGCAAGCGGACATTTGGGATGATGCTTGCGGACCCATCTCCTCAGCTGGGAGCTTCTTGTGGGAATCTAGAATTTAGAGCTTGCTTTGGCGTCGTTTCTCCAAAGAGCTTCACAAACGGACTTCCTGGCTGTAATCCGTAAACCGCTCCCGCCCATGAAACTGGGTTCGGGGGACAAGCCTCGGGCCGAATGATACGTTCACGCTGGGTCTGGAGTCTTGAGTCTCCGGGTTCATGGGTACTTAGGGTGCTGGTTTGGGTGGTTAGGAGTTCGAGGGTGTTAGTTGGGCTCAGTTCTGCTGCTCGGAGGCATGCCTCGGGGCAGGAGTCAATCTATAAGATCTGTCAGTCTTAGTGAAAAGAGGAGAACAGGAGAACATAGTCTTGGGCTTCGGACCCACCCTTTAAGTGCTGCCGACCAGTGAGCCAAGCACGGTTCCAGCTCGGGAGGGCGTGGTGGGCTTCAGGGTCCTGCACCCTCTGCTTTAGTGCGGCGTGCTTCCTGCGTGCTGACTGATGCCATCCACCTGCAACACAAGCCTTCTGCAATTGGAACCTACGCACCTCCACCGCGACCCCTGAAGCAAAACTTAAACACATCAACCCTCAGCCCCGAGCCTTAAGCCAATATCTCAAAGAGCTTAAAGTTAAGTAGGGCATAGGCAGGCAGAACCCATGAAACCCAGGATTAATTAAATTGTGAAATAAATGTAAAAAAAAGCACCACAAATGCGATTGCAAAATGTACCCTGGAAAATCAAATGCAAAATAAAAGCAAAAAAAAGCAAACAAAAAGCACTGGAAAAGTTGCAAAAAAAGTGAAAAAAAAGCACTTTGTTTTTTAGTGCTTTTTTGCTGCCTTTTTTTTTGCTTTTTTTGTGCTTTTTTTGTGCTTTTTTTGTGCTTTTTTGTGATTTCAGTTGTGCTTTTTTTGTGCTTTTTT